GTGCTCTATTTGACTAACTTCTTTGCATGAACGAATAACCTCCCACTTTCTAACACTCCCACTTCTTTGCCTCCCCTTCAAATCCGACCTCTACTCCACTCTACTTTAGCTACAGCGGAAAAGCAATTTGGAAAATTCGGTGAATTGGGGGCTATTTTCTATTCATTTTGTTTACCTTGAGTTGATTTATTTTGATTATCAAACAAAAAAGTGGGAAAGGAGGTTACACTGAAGTTGAAAATCACGCAGCATGTTCTTGCCAATTTCAAGTGATTTGTGCATTTTTTTGTGAAAGAGTGTGCATTTTCAATTTGTTAGCTAATCAACTTTTCAGTTGAAAAGAGTCTAATGATGTAAATTGTTTTTTGCCCGATTTCCCAGTAGGGCTGACGGGTGATATTCTCATGAATGACAATGGCGACAGAGAGGTGAGTTATGATTAAAATATTGTACTGTGGACAGTATTTAAATGATTTTTTTGAATAATTTAGGTGGACTACACACTAAACGATCTCGGTAAGTGAAGGCTTTAAAAACTTTTGCCAAGTTTTTAATTTATTCAAATAATAACAGATCCGGAAACTGGAACCATGAGACCGGTGGCGACCTNCAGTTGAAAAGAGTCTAATGATGTAAATTGTTTTTTGCCCGATTTCCCAGTAGGGCTGACGGGTGATATTCTCATGAATGACAATGGCGACAGAGAGGTGAGTTATGATTAAAATATTGTACTGTGGACAGTATTTAAATGATTTTTTTGAATAATTTAGGTGGACTACACACTAAACGATCTCGGTAAGTGAAGGCTTTAAAAACTTTTGCCAAGTTTTTAATTTATTCAAATAATAACAGATCCGGAAACTGGAACCATGAGACCGGTGGCGACCTACTTTGGTGCTCGACGGTAAAATTGAATTGCAATTTTTTCAATACACCAACTTTAATACTTTATTACAGAATTCTCGACAAACTACCTGGCGTCGAGATTCACTGGCCCAAGAGCAAGGTACGTTGTTGTATTTATTTGTGAAGTTTTCAACTTTTGAACTATCATCTCACCAAACAAAGGGGCCACCACCTGATGTGCCCGACTGTGGTTTCACCGGCGAAGCGGCGCACTGTCAACCGAAAGAGGCCTTCCCCATCTGGGCCTCCATTCTCATTACCTTTGTCGTGGTGACCATAGTGGCTCTCGCCGTGTCGCTCTTTGTCTACAAGAAGATTCGCCTGGAGCAGGACCTGAATGACAACTGGTGGAAGATCTCCTACGAGGACATTAACTTTGTGCACCAGAGGGGCGCCGGCGGCGGCCACAAGAGCGCCATGAGCATGGCCACCAGTGAGACGGATGGATACCAGTCGGGGAAGACCAGCTCGCTGAAGGCGGGCAGCATTGGTCACTCGCTGATCAGCGCCGCCGGTGAGCTGGACACCGTTCTGGTGGGCATCTACAAGGGCGTTCGAATTGCCTTCAAGCCGCTGAACATCAAACGGCTGATGATCAATCGACAGCTGCTGATGGAGGTGAAGCAGGTAATGTGTGCCAAGAAAGTAATTTGTTTGCTTTGTTTCTCATATTTTTGAGTTTTTTAGATGAAAGACATTCTTCATGAAAATTTGGTTCGATTTATTGGTAAGTCAAAAAATGATTTGATTTTTTGAGAAAAAATTTTCACTTTTTGTTTAGGCCTGTGCATCGATGAGCCCAACTATGCAACAGTCAATGAGTTGATGATTCGCGGAAGTCTGCGAGACTTACTTGAAACGGTTGGTGTTTGCTGGTTAAACATTGTTGAATTTGGATAACTAAAGTTTTTCTTTTTCTTTCAGGAGAAAATTCAAATCGGTATGCTCTTTAGATGTTTACAAGTTATTTGAGTGTAGCCACTAATCACTTAATTCAAACAATGCAGACTGGACCTTCAAGTACAGCATGCTTACTGACATTGTCGAGGGAATGCTCTTTCTGCATGGCAGTCTGCTCGACTACCACGGTCACCTGAAGTCGACCAACTGTGTCGTCGATGGACGGTTCATGGTCAAGATCACCGACTATGGAATAAGGTACAATAAGAGGTGAAAGAGAAGTAAAACATCGTTTAAAAACAAACTTTATCACCTCAATCAGATCCCTGCATGCACAAATCACCCGTGAGCAAGAGACCGCCTCTCGGGCGCTGCTCTGGACCTCACCGGAGATACTGCGCAGCAAGGACCCGCTGAACACTGGCTCAAAGAAGGGCGACATCTACTCCTTTGCCATCATCCTCCAGGAGATCATCACCCGATGTCCGCCTTTTCAGTCACTGGAACGACTCGGTCGCAAGAAGATCGTCTACGAACCAAATGAGATCCTGGACCGCGTTCGGATGGGCACTGTGCCGCCCTTCAGACCCGAGGTCGCTCCCGACGAGTGCTCCAAAGAGCTGCTGACGCTGATGCACGAGTGCTGGGCAGAGCAGCCGGCCAGCAGACCCGACTTTGTGGCCATCAAGCCGCGGCTGCGGAAGATCACCCAGGGCATCAGCAGTCGAAACTTCCTCGACAACCTCCTCAACCGAATGGAGCAGTACTCGCAGAATCTGGAGCGAATCGTTGAGGAGAAGACGCAGTCGGTGATTGAGGAGAAGCAGAAGACTGAGGAGCTGCTCTATCAGCTGTTGCCGCGCTTCATTGCTGACGAGCTGAAGCGAGGAGCGCACGTCAAGCCTGAGTCATATGAGTGAGTTTTGGGGGTGAAGATTGCATCAATGGTGCATTTATATTGCATTTATGTTAAACTTTTGTTTTCTTTTCAGCTGCGTGACCATCTTCTTCAGCGACATTGTCGGCTTTACGGCACTTTCCGCCGAGTCATCGCCGATTCAGGTGGTTGATCTGCTGAACGACCTTTACTCCTGTTTCGACGCCA